AACTAATACAATCCACTTTTTCTGGAAAAAGCTAACCCAATTCCCACTGTCCACTACTTCATACAACTCTTAGAGTTTCTTCTCTCTTCCTCTATGCATACGGAGACTTTCTGTTGCTTCCATCTATTGGTTCCATCTCCAGCACTCTTACTCCTGGACATAGGGTCATTTGTCTCCCACCTACAGCAAGCCTGGTGGAGTGGGAAGTTACCTGGGTTGGTAAACTGCCAGGGTAGGAATGGTCTTCAAACAAGACCACCCTCTCCTGTTGCTCATGCTTCCAGTTGGGCTTTCAAAGGGACTGTTCCCAACCCCAGATGAACAGAAGGTAAAGCTTGTTGCTCTTATGGCATCTGGGCTTTTACAAGTGCACACCCTCTCCTCTCTAATTAGATAAGGTTGCTAGGACTGTATCAGTGTCCCAATTTCATGGGCACGTGGCTGGAATAACTGACCTGCTCAAGGTCAGATGTGAACTAAGAAGCATGGTGAAGAGTGAAGTTCACAGCCTCTGACACAGCCCTAGACTCTTTACTATAGAAGCAAAGCTTAGTAACTACAAGTGTAGGTTGCTTGCTCTCTGAATATGAGCTAGTTACTTAAGCTCTCAACACTTCATCATCTGTAAGAAAGGGTTGTTAACAATAACACCTACTCAGTGATCCGGTTGTGTGAATCAAAGGAGTTGGTATAAGAGAAGCATTACAAGAGTTTGGCACAAATTTGGGGAAAAGTGAACAATAGTTATTACCATTTAGAAGAGATAGAAACAAATGGTACAAACACCCTGGAGGGAGGCATGATTTTGACATAAATTCATATTAAATTTAAAACAACTAAAAAATAAGTCCTTTCCATGAGCTGGTCTTGATGTGAAAACAGTTCTAAGGTCCAGTACTGCAAAGTGGAAAACATTATACACAAAATGAAGAAGAGGGTGCATAAAGGGGAGGTGAGACCTTGCCACAGGTTTGCTTCAGGCACACCTTCGTGCACACCTTCGTGACATGCTTCACCTCCATGCCAATGCCCAACCAGCAGTAGTGTGAGGCCAGGGGCTCTGTTAACCCGACACGCAAACATTTATTTATTTGCAGAGTTAACCTTCTTGTACTCTTACTCACTTTCTGTACCTGAGTTTGCTTGGAATTGCTATTTTGTCAGACTCCACAAGCTAGTGGCAGCAACCTGTCCTTCTGGGGGTACTGCAAATGCGCCATCATATGCCTAACATAATTTGTTCTGACTTCTGTGCTATTAGAGCAGAATAGGTAAGAGTGTGGGATCCAGAGTCAGGCAATGCATCCCAATTCTGTTCATACTGCTTACGTTAGTATGGGTGACTGTGGGCAAGGCTCAGGATCTGTTTTCCCATCCCTAAAAGAAGAACAATAATGGTGGTTGCCTTATTGGAATCATAGCTGGATTTAAAGCTAACATCAGGAAAGCTCCTTGAATAGTTCTCGTATGCAATAAGAAGTAGATGTTTTTGTTGTTGCTACTACTGTTTTTGTTAGTCAGGACCTGGAACTGAATTTTAGCTGTACTGCTTTCTAGCAGAGTGATCTTTGGCAAGTAAAATAGAGATAATCATACTGAACCTGTTCATCCTTTCAATGTATGAAGAACATAAAGCCATCTTAGTGTTTGATATCTTATTATGTTAAAGGATACACATAATAAATACTGTTTCTACCTTGAATTCTTTAAAAATATCATTAACAGTAATGTAATAATTATAATATTAAGCTATTCTCTAACTTCATATAGTGTTTTATCTTTCATTTGTGTCTAATATTGTAATCCCCTTCCAGACCATAAGCTCCATGAAGGGGGGTTGGCATATCAGTCAGCACTTAGCACAATGCTTAATTATTACAGGAATTCATATTTAAATGAATCCAAAGAAAGTACATATTCAGCCAATTTTTATGTCCTACGGGTCCAAGCATTATATCAAGCAACTTTAACAGATACAATGGCCACCTATGTGATCTGCAAAAAACCATACATCCAAGTCTGTATGACTCAAGAGCTGAAATTTCTTTTTGTTAAATCACAGAACAGCCCACCCTATACTATTCATTTGGCAATTAATTTGCAGTGAAATAATCTTGTAGCACTATCACTTGAACTATTAAGCTCTTTTTTTCTAAAGGTTTTATTTATTTATTTGAGAGAGAGAGAGAAACAAAGATAGCAAGAGAGAGAGAGAAAGAGAGAGAGCACAAGTGGTAGAGAAGCAGGCTCCCCAGTGAGCAGGGAGCCTGATGATGTGGGGCTCAATCCCAGAATTCTGGGATCATGGCCCAAGCCAAATGCAGATGCTTAACCAACTGAGCCACCCAGGAGCCCTGAACTATTAAACTCTTGCTTGCATATGTTACTGCTATTAGATGTTTCCATACGTTTATGTCTTATTTTCTGGAAGTTTACATATTGATGTTCCCACCACTATCTTGCACATAGTAGAAGCTCAGTAAATGTTTGACAGATCCACTCAAATCCTCATTGAAGAGAAACTGTTTTCAAAGCAGCCTACTTCTGTGTTAGAACATTATTTCTACAGTTCAAAAAAAGCTAAATGTGTATCAACAACTTAAAAATCATAGAATCCAGGATCCCTGGGTGGCGCAGCGGTTTGGCGCCTGCCTTTGGCCCAGGGCGCGATCCTGGAGACCCGGGATCGAATCCCACATCAGGCTCCCGGTGCATGGAGCCTGCTTCTCCCTCTGCCTATGTCTCTGCCTCTCTCTCTCTCTCTCTCTATCATAAATAAATAAAAATTAAAAAAAAAATCATAGAATCCTAAAACAGAGATTATTTGATCTATTGCCTCTATTTTATGATTGAGAAAGCCAAAAGTAAATTGACTTGCCCAAGGTCACAAAGCTATTAATTTGCAGATTCATGGCCATGGTCCCTTGTGGTAATGTTCTTCCAGATGTTCGAAAATAGTCTCTAGGCCCCTAAATTATCTGCCCCACTATCACTAGAGCGATCTAAACTCAAGCCCATCATAACTCCCCTATTTCAGATATTTCAGAGGCCTCTCATCTTCTAGAGATGGTGTTCTTAACCTCAGTTTTAGGACCTCCAAGCCCTATTTCAAATTACATGAATGCTGTCTACATGTGCACTCCGCTTTGAAAAGCATCCATACTTGAAAAAAAAAAAAGCATCCATAGATTTGTATTAAATTATCAAAAAAGTAACTATGATCTTAATGCCGATAAGTCACTATAAAATAAACAATTTTTACTAAGTTATTTATACAAAACTTTTCAAGACCTAATTTCTAGCAGCCCCCAACCTCATCTCCTTCCCTGTCTCATCTTTCAATACCCACCACATTTGCACACATTTGCATATAGTGCCAAACTTCCTGTGGTTTCTCAAAATACCATGTTTGCTCAGTTCCACACAGAAGTACATGCTGAGCCTTCTTCCTTCTCCCTCTTGTGAGACTGTATTCATTTTCAAACCTCAGTTCCAACAGTACTTTCTCGATGAAATCTTCCCCGATCTCTCCACTTACTTCATACATTACATAGATAATATATGTAAAACACATACTAAGTATGCAACAAATAGTGGTGATGGAGGTAATGCTCCTGAATATTGATGATGATATGAGCACACTGAACTGTAAGTCCTTGAGGACAGGGATTATGTTTCAACTTTGAATCCCCAGAACCTTACCATAGTGCCTTATACATAATAGATAGTAAGCGTGTGTTTGTTAATGATCAATTACCCCAAGTCCAAGATATTGAAAGCCAGTGGAAGACAGTAAATGAGAGACCAGCATGAGTGAGAATTATCAAAGAAAACTTTATTGAGAAGGGAGATACTCAAAGGGTAGATTTTTCTTTTTTAATAGCAAAGGAAGAGAACAGAAGTTACCAAAAGTAAAAGAAAAAAAAAGCATAATACGTAGTCTGCTCCAGGGTTGGGAAGAGTAAATGTGCTTTGTTTGATAGGAAGGAAAAGCAGTGAGCAACAACATGATTAAATACCTTGTCATTACTAAAACTTTGCTGTCTAGAACCATACCTAGAGATGAAGCGCAAAGACAAGAATCCTAAGTTTTGCTTCTTTCAGAAACCTCAGTTTATATCAAAACCATAAAAGAAAATGTTTCATTTAGACAAACTGTATGGTATAATAGGGAGAACACAAGCTTTATAGAGCAACAAATCTAGCTTTGAATTTTAGTTTTGCACTTACCTGTTATCTTGGGTTGAGTCCCTTATCTCTTTGAGCTTTAGTTTTCTCTTCTGTAGAATGGAAATTATAATGGGTATCCTAAAGGGCTGATGTGGGGTATGAATGAGGTAATTCTTGTAAGATATGTGGTGTACAGCCTGGCAAGTAGCAGGTGTTCAATAAACATGAGAGCTACTGTTATTGTTTATAGTATGAATTGATGTACTTGTGTGTCTGTGTTAAGTCGTGATGTACATTATGTCATGTATGTTTTTGGACATGTAAACTTGAGCTTATTTGATCTGAAGGTAATTGGGCTTTTCGAAACAAATAATCCGAAAAAGAACAATGCATAACATGGTACCTCATGGCCATTTGTGTCTTTGAAATAAAGAAACAAAAAGTTTTGAGTGTAGGTTGAATGCTCAAATAGGAAGCTAATAATTGTCTTTATTAACTACCTGCTGTACAAACTGTCATTCAAATACTGCCTTATGCTTAATGTAAAACATTGAAACCCCCCAATGACTTTATTCGTCTGCTTGGATTTTTTTTTCTGTAGAAAAATTAGTAATTGAATTAATTTCAAGTGTGTTTGTTTGTAAATCAGCCAAATATTTCTTTTTAAATACTTGAGCTCTATGTTGAATATACACACATGGTTCTTAGCACATTACTTTTTTTCAATAATAGATTTCATCCTTTAATCCTTTTTTAATGGGCTTTTAGTTCCACATATACTAACATGTCTCCTATGTCCATAATAAATGAAAGTTTTTCATTTCGTGCAGGTTCTTCCAGGGGCCCCAGCCCCCTAACCATGGGAGCCCAGGACACCCTCCCTGTTGCAGCAGCATTTACAGAAACGGTCAATGCCTACTTCAAAGGAGCAGATCCAAGCAAGTAAGGCTGGGACTTGGTCCACCATATTTTTCAAACTCTATCCTATCCAATGGATGGGTGGGGGGAACACCCTAAACATAACTATTTCATTCCTTATCTTCAAACTAAAACAAACAAAAAACAAAAATTTGATTAATAATAACAGGTGGCATACCTTGAATGGAGGAGAAAATTTAATTAGATATATTAATTCACTGCTTTTTTAAAAAAAATATGCCAAAGGACCAATAATCTAATGTCTTATTCCATGGATAGAGTTCAGGAAGTTATGGATTCCCTGAAATTATACTGCATATCTTATGTGTGTGTACATATGTGCATTTGTCATTGAGAGAGTCTACAGCATCCATCAATTTCACAAAAAGGTTTATGATCCAAAAAAACAAAAATTAAAAGTGATTATTAGTCTACACTAAAAACAAAACTCCGAAGTTAAACTGGCTTTCAAGTGTGTCATTAATACAATTCCAGGGTTGAATGTGATGGATAAACAAAGGGCAAACCTAAATGAGGAAAGAATTGCTCTTTATTTTTCACTTACAAGGGCTAGGGCTGAAAAGACCTTAGTATCCATGGAAATAAGAATTAGAAAACATTCACATAGAACACTTGACTATTTCATGAAAACTTTTTAAAGAGTGATAATTAAGTATAATTAGGATTTGAATCTCCACATATATTTTAAGTGGGAATTTATATGACTAACTGTGAATCCTCTTTACACTTCAAGAACACTAGTTTTTGTAAGCCTAAATCTAACAATATTATGCTGGGAAACATGATTAGTAACTCCAGACAGTAGGATCTATCAACCTCCCTAAATGTCAAGTCCTTTTTAATAACATTTAGTTTTTATTCTGTGCCCAGACTATTGTAGAGAAACCAACACTATGGACTTTGATGTTTTAGTCTATTTCGGTTACTATAACAGAATAGTGTAGACTGAGTGGCTTCTAAACCACAGAAATTTATTTCTCATGGTTTTTGAGGTTGAATAGTCCAAGATCAAGGCTCTGGCAGATTCAGTATCTGACCAGAGCCAGCGTCCTGGGTCACAGTAACTTTAAATGGAAGGAGGGAGGGTCCTAGGGAGTTCTTCAAGGTCACTTTTATAAAGGTGCTGATCTCCTTTATGAGGGTACTACCCTCATGACCTCATCACCTCTCAACAACCCCCCTTCAAACACCATCGTATTGGAAATTAGATTTCAGCATACATGTTTTGGAAGGACACAAACATTCACTCTGGTTTCTCCCATATCTTTTCTTTTCAATCTTCAAACCAGGAAGGTAATTTGTCACATGCACATATCAATAGGAATTAAAAGCTACCTCATACAGAATATGCATTTGAACTGTTAGAGTAAGTGCCATGTGCTTAAGTTGTATATATACTTCATATACACATATACATGTTGGTTCTGTAAACTCTTCTTTAAATGAAGAATTTACATAACTTTCTATAATACCACTTCTAAGGATTACTTATTATCAACGGACCTACCTATACTTTAGAAAGCTCAGGCTGACCAGAATTGAGAAAGGCAGGTAGAAACACACCTTTAAAAGAATAAGAGTAGGGGATCCCTGGGTGGCTCTGCGATTTAGCGCCTGCTTTTGGCCCAGGGTGTGATCCTGAAGTCCTGGGATCGAGCCCCACGTCGGGCTGCCTGCATGGAGCCTGCTTCTCCCTCTGCCTGTGTCTCTGTCTTTCTCTCTCTCTACGTCTATCATGAATAAATAAATAAAATCTTTTTAAAAAATAAAAGAATAAGAGTAGTCAGCGGGCACCTGGGTGGTCGAGTTGGCTAAGCATCTGACTCTTGATTTTGGCTCAGGTCATGATCTCATGGTCTTGAGATTGAATCCTGTGTTGGGTTCTGTGCTGAGCATGGAGCCTGCTTAAGATTCTCTCTCCCTAAAAAAAAAAGAAAAAAGATTCTCTCTCCCTCTTCCTCTGCCCCTCCCCACAAACTCTCTCTCTCTCTCTCTCAACCAGTCTCTCTCTCAAAAAAAGAAAATAAGAATAAGAGTGGTCAGGAGTGTGGAAAGATGTCTATACCAGCTTGAAAAGCACTGGGAATCACACAAGAATTAGTCCTTTTCATGTCTGATTATTAATTGGTTGTCATTCATTCATTTATTCAGAGAGACATAATAGGTAGTAGGAGTGCTTCCACTTTTGCCCCTAAAATCTATTTTCAATATATCACTCTTCTGCTCAGTATCCTCCTTTCTTGTTCAAAGTAAAATCCAGTGCTTTACAATAGTCCATGAGGCTCTAGATTATCTGTTGAGACTTTTCTCCCATTTCAGCTCCCACCTCTCTGATCTTGTCTCCATCACTGGTGGTGTCCTTGTTTGTTCCACTCTGGTCACACTGGCTTAATGGCTATTCCTCTGTCATTAGGCTGTTCCTCTGCTATGCAGACTGTATCTGCATCTCAGGGCCTTAGCATTTGTTGCTCTTTCAGCCTGGGTGAAATCTTCTCCAGCTATCTGAGTGACTTGCCCCCTTACCTCTTTCAGGATTCTTCAGCAGATGTATCAGAGACCTTCTCTGTCCATCCCATGCAAAGAGCAACACTCTTCCCCACCCTCTGTCATCACTTTCTCCCTCCCTATTGCCCTTCTCTCTAATTAACATGTTGCATGTTTTCAGTGTCCACTGTGTCTCTTCTCCAACTAGAAGAACCATGATCTTGGCATTCCACCCATGTGGCATTTGAGCCAAATTAATATTAGTGTTTTCTTATGCCCTTCTAAATGAACTGAGTCTTTGACTTGAGATGACTGCATATACTGAGTTTGTTTTCAAATATATTGCTATAAGTAGTTGCAGTACATACTGCATACTGGTAGATGGGAGATTCAGTAAATTTCATTGGAATTATGGGATCTGAAATTTATGAACAGATCATGAGGTGACAGTCTTCTAAATTTAATTTCAGCCCCAGGCAGTGAATCATTTTAATTGCTGTTCCTTTGTTATTCACTTTTAAGGAAACATCTCAAGTTCAAAAATTCTATCATAGGGTGAGCAGAGGAGGAGGATAAAGTCAAACACAGTGCCACATAGAGAAATGATATAGAAAAGCCATTTTGACTTGCTTTTGCCTGTGGTTTCTTCTCATCCTGAACCCAATGCCTTCCCCATTTGCTTTCAGACCATACGTTGGAAACAATCTACTACTTTAATTATTATATGCTGTGATATACAATCCATTCTAGTATAGTTATACCCTTTCTTTGTTTTTTTTTTTGTTTTTTTTTAATATTTTATTTATTTATTCACGAGAGACACAGAGGCAAGAGACACAGGCAGAGGGAGAAGCAGACTCCATGCAGGGAGCCTGATGTGGGACTTGATCCTGGGTCTCCAGGATCAGGCCCCGGGCTAAAGGCAGACGCCAAACCGCTGAGCCACCCAGGGATCCCTGTTTTTGTTTTTTTATTTATTTTTTTTAATAATAGATTCTTTGAGTATTGAGAACACCTGTAGTAGGCATTTTGACATGTGAGTCTTTCTGGATTACGCATTGGCAGAGAACTACTTAACTTTTGAAGCTGGCTGGAGAAACATATCTACCATTATTCACTCCTATTTGAACAACCCCGGTGTTAGGGATTAATTCTTTACTTCTCTGGAAAAATTATGTTTCTCACCTATATTCTATCCTTCTCTTCTCATCATTTCTCAAATTTTTTATTCAAGTGTCTGTCTCCCCAGTTAAATCAGAGTTTGGGCAAAGACCACATTTGTCCTGTTTGTCACTGTCCTTTCTAGGGCATCACATAATACCTGGTACATCGTATAGTCACCCTACATATAATTATTAAATGTATGAATTTATTTTAACACTTTATTGAGTTCCTAGTCTGCACTAGGTTCTGTGTAATGCATGTTTGCCTTTCTAGAACCCAAGACACAGCACTTGTCTTCAGAAGAATGGGTAAGATATGTGCAAGAAGCTATGAAATAGTTGTTTTTTTGTTTTTTTGTTTTTAAATTTTTATTTATTTATGATAGTCAGAGAGAGAGAGAGAGAGAGAGAGAGCCAGAGACATAGGCAGAGGGAGAAGCAGGCTCCATGCACCGGGAGCCTGATGTGGGATTCGATCCCGGGTCTCCAGGATCGCGCCCTGGGCCAAAGGCAGGCGCTAAACCGCTGCGCCACCCAGGGATCCCTAGTTGTTTTTTTTTTAATCTGTACATCTGTCCAAGGAATCTGGAGAGAGGAAAAAGTAAGGAGGGCTGAATAAAGAGAATAGTAAGGAAGGTTTCAGAAAGGCCTGCCTTTGAACTAAGTCTTGAAACCTGAAAAGGAGTTTGCCTAGTACCTAAGCCAATGAAAGGGAATTATAAGTATATGCACAGCAGTATGTATACTTGAAAAGAAGACTGTGGGCTTAGTTATCAAACAGTATACAGAAGTCACATTTATGTCAGACATGTATTTCTGATGACCTCACATGTATCAAATTCACACGTTTCCTGACCAAAATTGGCCAGCATTTCTGTTGATTGGCTAATGTGGTGCTGCCTGTGGCAATGGGGAGAGCCCAGTTTATAGCCAGGTGACTTTGAAATTGTGCCGTTCTTGATAAGTGTTTCATTTGTTGGGATTCACATGATTTCAAATTTTATTCATAACTTGAGTTTGTTAATATTTCCATATCTCTGTATTTCAGATTTCTGTAATTCAAACTCACATGAAAAGTAGCCACATTGTGTACTGTTAGAAACAATCATGAGAGTTAAATATTTTCCTTTAGTGAGTGTGGATTGAAAATACTTTTGTATAGGAAATTTCAGATCTAGAAATAGATACTGGATGAATTAATAAATCAGCAAAGTTCCACCTGTGACAGTGGAGACACAATCCCAAAAAGTAATAAAAATGAAGAAACTCAGTGCTTCTTATATTAGTTTATATTGACTACTTCTTTCATCAGCCACCCAGCACCATAAGCCCTTTGAAGATGGGAGCTGTATTGCTCATTTTTAAATGACCTCCCCATTCAAAACAAATAACAAAAATTACAGAATTAGGAGTCAATAAATTTTTATTGACTTAATAAATGCTACTCCCTGCCTTCACTGACTAGTTTTCAAAAGAGAAACTTTATCCCCCACCAAGAGACCATTTGGATCTCATTTTGAGCAACCTAGTAAAGCAACTGAGCTGATTCCCTACCCATTAAAAACATTTGAGTCATGCTGCTGACAACAACATACTGAGTGAGGGTAGATGCCGAAGTCTATTTTAACAAATGCTCTAATTGTTGTCTTCTAGAGTTGTGAAATCATATTCTGCACGTCCATGTATTGAAAAACATCAAGAGTAGACTCAGCTGCAGGGGAATTCCGAGCTCAGCACCAGTAAATAAAGTGAGGTTTATGTATCTAAAAGAGAAGGAAGACAGCAGAGTTGGCAGGCAAACTGGGAGAAGAGTAGTATTCTCCAGAAGAGATGGAAGTGCAAACTTCCAGAAGCCAGAATTTTCATCCAGATTAGTGCAGAGTTATGGATGATAACATCTGAATGAGGGCTCAGAAGGGGACATGGCAACTTTAGAAAGTTCCCCTGCCCTCCACCTCTACCTCAAAGGCAGCCTTACACATACAAGGCTGTAGCACTTCTTCACATAAGCTATTTTAAATGTACCAAGGGCCATTTCCCCTGAGCCCCATGTGTCCCGTTAATCACAGGCACACAGCCATACAAGGTGACTATGGGGCAAATGGAGTTCCTTATACTCAAATGGGAGCAAAGTTTCCATCTAGTAGCCCCAATTCCCCTAGAACGTACACTCCTGAACTTAAAGTTGTAGAATTGGTATGAGAGTAAATTATCCAAATGTAGAAGGAAGTCATGAAGAAGTTCACTCATTTGAAATATTTACTGTTTCCCAAAGAAGAATAATCCTTTGAGATTTCTGCTTCTGGCCAAGGTGTAGAGATCAATTTATCTTTCTACCTGAAAACACCCCAAAAATGGACAAAACATATGAAACAATGATTTATAAGACACTGGGCCTGAGGCGAAAAGACAGTGATCCCTGAGAGGTGAGGTGTGCATTATGATGGCCCCAGCTTACTTCCTTAAGAGTTTTTGGCATGACATAGGGGAAGCCTGGCGGACTCCCAGCTGTTCACAAAGAGGTGTCTCCCTGAGGCACACTCCACTACAAAACCAGCTGAGGGGATTGACAGAGAAAGCTAATGGCCACACGGTGGGTACTTCAGGCCACCATGCACCACAGAAGCTGGTTGTGGAGAAGGTGTCCACATGCCAGGAGCCTGGGGCTGGAGAATCCACTTGCATTGCAGGATCTGGGCCCTGGGACAGCCCAGACACATGCCCTACAAGAATCAGATGCTAGGGAAGCTGCCTCTGCCACTGGGCACCAACAAAGCCACATAGGCTGCAATACCCACACCCTGGGGATGCCACCTGCACCACGGAGGTCACACAGAGGCCTCCTGCACTACAAAAGCCTGGCACTAGATGCCCTAAGTACCACCGGAGCCTGCCTAGCAAGCACTCTGGAATGAGGAAGGAAAAATCGCCTCTTCCTGCGATGTCTTTTCAGCGCCCTCTATTGAAAATTTAACATAGTGCCTGCTACGAAGAAAAAGTATATATAAAGGGCCCAATAATAATTTGCTATGTGCAGGCAATAAAGGGTGAATTGGAACTACATTGATTTTATGTAGAAATTGATGCAGTGATTATTTGATATGGAAGTGCAAAGGACTTACAATAGCCAAAACAATTTTGAAAAAGAACAAAGTTTGTGGATTATCACTACTTGATTTCAGTGTGATTCAGTGATTCCACTCCTATTTAATTTACCAAGAAAAATGAGAGCATATGTCCATACAAAGACTTGTAGAAACATATTCATCACAGCTTTATTTGAATACTCAAAAACTGGAAAAATCCAAATGTTCTTCAACAAATGAATGGATTAAAAAGAAAAATGACTGTGCTATAACCATATGCTACACAGCAATAAAGTCATGAACTATAGATACACGTGCTACATGGATGAATCTCAAAATAATTACAGAGTGGAAGAGGCCAGACCAAAAAAAAAAGAATCACATATTTTATGATTCTGTTTACATGAATGTGCAAATTAACATGTAGTGTCAGAAAGCATATTAGCAATTGCTTAGGGTAAGGGAGTGGGAGGATAGAGAAGAGCAGCAGAGAGGGATCACAGAAATGCATGCAGCAACTTTTAGGGATGCTAGGTATGTTCAGTAACTTGATTTCATGATGGCTTCATATTATGTTTATATTATAAATATAGTATATCAAAAGTTATGGAATTTTACACTTAAAATGAGTGCCATTTATTGTATGTCAATTATACCTCAATAAAGACATTTTAAAAAAAAAGGATTATTCTTCCTTACAAATTATCATCCTATTGTGCTAATTTATATGACTAATTTTTACAGTTTCAACCAAATAGACATGAAATAAAGATATAGCTAAATGGAAACAAGAAGTTTACCCTTCGAGTACAGAAAAGAACATGCTCAAGGCATCAGTCATGTTACTGAGAACTAACTTAAGTCCCAGTGAGTAGTGTGATCACATTGTGCATTGATGTAATATCTTCAAATATGCTGCCAAAGATTCAGAAATCAGAGAGAGAACCATCAGAATCGATGATTCTATTTGTGAGGTGAACATACAGACTTACTTACAGAAAGACAGAAAGTGAAAAGCTGTATTTTTCATCTCACAGTTCAAAAATACATTCAACAAATAGCCACTTTTTTTGATAAGTGTTAATTCAAAACTTGCATTCTCAGGTCTTAGAAATGATTTAGTTGTTGATAGTGGAATGGTAAGAGCTTACCTTTTGTCTCTTCTGCTTTGTAATATTGTTGCATAAGTCATTTCTTTTTCACAACTCTTTTGATTCACAACATATTGACCTGGGTTTCCTCTCTTTCCTCTCGTGTGTTTTGATATGCCAGATGTATCGTGAAGATTACTGGAGAAATGGTGCTGTCCTTCCCTGCCGGCATCACCAGACATTTTGCCAACAACCCGTCACCTGCTGCTCTGACTTTTCGGGTGATAAATTTCAGCAGGTTAGAACATGTCCTGCCAAATCCCCAACTTCTCTGCTGGTAAATATATTTTGCACAAATTTTTTAGACGTGTGTAGCTTAGCAGTGGATACTTACATGAACGATATACCTTAGCAAGAATATAGCATGGTAGAGCAATAACTGTTATTCAGATATGTTTGTAGATTCAACACAGAACTTTTGCCATCTGTCAGAGTCTTTAGTGGGTGCTCCTGTGTGCAAGCTTATCTGAATTCTAATGGCCAACTGTCTCAAGTGGCTAAAGAGATATTTAGAGCAATAAAATCTGTATTAGTGACAGTTTATCCAGTGCCTATTTTACTTACCATTGGTGACAATGGATGAGGATGGTGGGAAATCAGCCTAATAAAAGCAAGAAAATCCACTTGTTGTATTAGCATCTTTTAAGGTCAAATGATATTTGAACTGTGAGCTATTATTCTTCACATGAGCTTGAAAGACTTTTTTGTGAAATATATAATTTCACAGTAATGGTGATTGTTTTGATGGAACTTTACTATCAAAACAATATTTACTATATTTACTATATTCAAAGAAGCTTGTGTAAATTTCTTTGTATAAATGCACTTTTTTAGCTATTAAATCTGAACACGATGTCTTTATCACACCCACAGATTCACACAAACATACACGTATAAGGCTATTAAAATTGATCGCGTATAATACAGGTTAGTTATTGGCAATGAATGAGACCAAAGATGTCATTCTTGACAGCTGCCTCTCCATCAAGCCCTGATATTTTACTTAAAGATCTCTCTCTAAAGTGGCCATTTTTTCTCTTTCCTGGGATCTTCCTGTCCAAGTGACCACTGTCATTTTCCCAGACCACTGAAATTGCTTTTCTCTTTCCCTTCCTGCTATCAATCTTGCCCCATTCCTACATTTTTAACATAACAGTTGAATGATTTTCCTGAGGTGAATCAGGTCATCACCATGCATAATCCTCAGGTGGCTTCACATTGCGTCTGTACGGGAATGTGAATTTGTTCCCATTGCCTTTGAAGCCCTGACTCATCTACCCTCACCTGCTTCTCTGTTATCAGCTCCCGTCATCTGCCTCAGAATCCTTGGAGCTCCAGCCAGACCTACTGGTCTTAAGAACAGGCGGAGTCCTTTCCCACATCAGGGATTTGTGTGCTTGCTTCGTCTGCCTCCACTACCGTTCCTGCCCCTCTGCACCTGACCCTGACTCACCCACTCCCCTCTCTACCCCAACCCCCATCCTCAAACTAAATATGTCCGCTTGTTTGTTGTTCTTTCTCAAGGTACTCTATTCTTGCACTTTGTTGCACTTACTAGAATTAGTAATTGTATATCTATTTCTGTTTCCTCATACATCCATCTCCCCCACTAGACTGGAAAATCCATGAGGGAATGGAACACATGTCCTAGTTCACCATCACACCTTCAGTATCTTCCACTGTCCCTGGTGTCAAGTAAAAACTAAACTAACATTTGTTGAATGAATGAACTCAACTATAATTTAAAGAATTTAGTCAAGCTGGATATTTATGTAGGAAAAACTAAAGGTTGAGGGACCTGGGTGGCTCAGATGGTTAAGACACTGACTCTTGGTTTCGAGTCAGGTCATGATACCAGGGTTGTGAAATGGAGCCCTGTGGCAGAGGGCTCTGCACTGGGCGTGGAGCCTGCTTAAGATTCTCTCTCTCCTTCTGCCTCTCCTCTCCCTGAATGCCTCCCCCCAGCTCACAAGTGCCGCTCCCCCTGCAAAGGAAAAAAAAAAAAAAAAGAAATGACTAAAGGTTGTTGGCATTTAGAATTTAAGGAACAATGTAGTCACTTACTTCACTTACCTCACTGAGTGAGACATTTTCATTCCAGTGGTGACAAAACAGTCACAGGTCTTTCAAGTGATTACCAAGATCATCTCCCCCTCTTTGGCCCTTGCCATGGTTTAACTAGCAAACATGACTCAAGGTTTAAAAGTATGGAAAGAAATGGTCACCCATTAAATGAAAGATAAATGTAAAACAATCAAAATTAGAAATCAACAACTTCTAGGATGCCTGGGTGGCTCAGCTGTTGAGTATCTGCCTTCCGTGAGTCCTGCATCGGCCTCCTTGCAGGGAGCCTCCTCCCTCTGCCTCTCTCTCTCTCTCTGTCTCTCATGAATAAATAAATAAAATCTTAAAAAAAAAAAAGAAATCAACAACTTCTTATTCAGTTTCTCTCCCTGCTTTTGATGTGCACATAGATCCCGTTAATTTTTTTCAAGTTTTTATTTAAATTCCAGTTAGTTAACATATAGTGTAATATTAACTTCAGGTGTAGAATTTAGTGATTCATCACTTACATGCAGTTGAGCCAGTTGAATTTGTTTTTTAAGGTTACTCCACCTGAAATTAGGGTATATGTGCCACTATTTCACTGGTTTATTAACAAACATACCAGTGGTTTGTTAATAGACCTAATGTTCTGGGTTTTGTTGCATTTTTAGGTAGTTATGTGGCCAAGATTTTAGGCATCTTTGGAAGAGTTTTATACTTCTATTAATAAATCAGTCTTATGAATTGAATTAAATAACACTCTGAATATGTTTTTGTCTGACAAAACCTTATATAGACATTACATTATTATTTGCTAAAACAAAAAAATCGTCACTAATTTGGACCTTATAAACTTTAAGTATTTGATTAATGTCAGGGCTGTGACTGGTAACTCACAGTCATGTAGCCTATGTGGGTTTGTCATGAAGGATTGTTTCACCATCACTGCTCCCGTCACCAGTTTTTAAAAGGCAACATAATCAACTATTATTCTCAACTGTAGTACAAACTTTTTACTTTACTTTTTACTTTACCTTAGACCCAGCCAATTCTCTCAGTCATGTGTTCTGAAAGGCTTCATTTGGGTCAAGAGCTTGGCACCTGAGAAGACATTTGCCTTTACAATCCCTCAAAAGAAACCAAATTGAAGTTTACTTCTACTTCTTCCAAACAAAAGGAGTTTGCTTGTAAAGAATTCAGGAACAATTGTTAAACCAATCATAAGACTAAAGAATTTTCCAGACTTCCTGAGCATTCAAGAATTTCATCTCTATCTTATTGGCAACTCTGACTGGTGAAGCTTTCTTGAATCTTTATTAAAGCAAGTTCTCTGAGGAATTATTGTATAGATATATGATTTAGCTTAATTTGTTATTAAATTTAGAAAATACATTTCCTTAAAAAGTAATGTGTCGTTGAAATTTTCCCAGCTATTCAGATCTACTTAGTACAAATTAATGACACGTTGCTGGATATTAATTCTGCACCTCTTTTTGGTACAGTGGGGAAGTATGACCTGTGGTATACTGACCTGGGCTGGAATCCTGACTGTTTCTTACTTGCTGTTACCTCTAAGCAAATTACTTAATATCACTGGCTTTCTATCACTCTTATCTCCTGCCTCTGGGTAACTTGGATGCTTTTAGGTAATAAAAGTTTAAATAGTCCTCATCAGCTTCCTTAACTTAGCTTGACCAGGAACAAAATCTCAGGGGCCAGTAGTCTTTTCCATCCACTTCCTATATTCTGGGAGTTATAGATCTTTGCTTTGTTCTCAGCAACCTATATACCAGGGCACAGCAGAAACATGGTCATGCTGAGACCTGGGCCACAAACCTAGCCCCTCCTAACAGATCAATAGAGTTTTAAAGAAAGCCCTGATGTTTTTGGACTCACTCTCTTAATTTGTTTGACCTTTGGAGACTGAATTATGGCAACTTACCTTTGACCTATCCTCATCAATTTATGGGAGGGAGGCCAGAAAGAGAGGGAGAGAGAGAATCTTTTTTTCTTTTTCTTTTTTTTTTTTAAGATTTCATTTATTTATTCATGAGCACACACACAGAGAGAGAGAGAGAGAGAGAGAGAGAGAGGCAGAGACACAGGCAGAGGGAGAAGCAGGCTCCATGCAGGGAGCCCCATGCGGGACTTGATCCCGGGACTCCAGGATCAGGCCCTGGGCTGAAGGCAGGCGCTAAACTGCTGAGTCACCCAGGCTGCCCAGAATCTTTTTTTTTAAAAAGGGATTTTTTTTATATTAAAGAGAGCAAGTATAAGTGGGGGAGGGTCAGAGGAAGATGGAGAAAATCTCAAGCAGACTCCCCACTGAGCACAGCGCAGACACAGGGCTTGATTCCACAACCCTGGGATAGTGTGACTTGAGCCAAAATGAAAATTTGGAGGCTTAACCAACTGAGCCACCCAGGCGCCCCAAGAGAGAACCTTAAGCAGGCTCCACATTCAGCACACAGCCCAGTGTGGGTCTCAATCTTACAACCCTGAGATTATGACCTGAGCCAAAATCAAGAGTCGGTAGGTTACCAAACTGAGCTACTCAGGCACCCCTGCCATCATCATTATTATTATCATCCTTCTCTCTTCTTGACCTCTATATTTCATTCAGTAAGTAACTTGTATGTCAGATTACTGAATTACTTGGGCCCTCAATTTCTTCATTATGTGGGAAGTGAGCAGAGGCTTTTCACACTGTTGCCTGATTCCTTTTGTCACCGAGACAAGCATTGTCAAGATACATTGGGTGAATGATGTGTGGACAGACATCTGAGCAAAACTAACAAATCCCTAAGAATACTAACTCCTGAATTCATTAAAACTGCACTTCTCTATTGTAACCACCATGATTATTATTCAAATTCCAGGATCATCTTGTAAGCCCAGTCACTGTTTTATGATTTAGATGCTCTTTAATGAAGGTGGTTTTAGTATTGCACTGTTCCCCTCAGTTGGAAATAAAGACTGTGTTTACATTTGGACAAATATTTAACTCCGTAATTTCTGAGAAAACTGTTCAAGTCAATTAAAAAAAACAAACAAAATCAATGTACTCAGCTCTTTGATTACATTAGCTGACTAATTCAGAGGAAACTGGTGATGTAGAAAGAAGGCTATTAAGTTTGGGTTTAATAAATACTTCACTCTTTAAAGCAACCAATCATCATCAGGATTGGTTAATATTACTGGGTACTCACTGAGATTCATCGTGACACAATCATGCCTCTATGGGCATTAATCTATTAACATAATAATGCCATTCAGAACTGTAACTGTACTAAAATATACTACTGCTAAAAAAATTAAGCAAAATAAAATATACTACTGCTAATAACATGATCTCTACAAATTGTCAAAGATGGATATAAAAATCAGATGACAAGTGGCTAAGATGCTTCTTTGTGAGGATATTTGTCACAAGATATTACTCAATAATTTTTTCTTCCCAACTGAATAGTGATAATACTCAAAATGATGCCAATACCAAGGAATTCTGGGTAAATATGCCAAATTTGATGATGCACCTAAAGAAAGTGTCAGAACAAAAACCCCAGGCTACATATTATAATGTGGACATGCTCAAATATCAGGTAAGCCTATTCATTTGATCAAGGGTCCCTTTCACATTATAAATGTATATTCTAACATGTCTAACATTAAGTAAAAGTAAACAAAATAGCATTTCTTTTAATATAACTTAAAACCTATCATTTTTAAGAAAATAAAAGGCTCCTTAAAGACTACAAAAATGAAGTTGCAGAAACTTTCAAAAATTGAGATTATAAATATTGGTAAACTAGTTATTGTGGTGGTAATATACCCTACAGTTTGGAAAATACTTATTTACATTGTTGTAAGGAAACCACTAAAAGTAACATATCTATATGATGGTACATTTTACAAAAATGCAAATGATTGTATTGTTTGTCCTGTAAAAATAATACCACCTAAGCTTTGGATGTTATCAATAATACTGAACAAACATGATACCACAGAAATTCATCACTTGTATAATTAAGATATGATTTAAAATACATTTTTATTTAACTTTCTTTCCCCCAAACGTTTAAAACACATTTAGTGACTGCTTTAATCTTCTGAGAGAAAGGAAAAGGAGCAAGAAAAGCAAACTCCAATGAAATATTTCCCTGAATGAGAAGTTAAATTTAGAAGCACATGCATGGTTCTTATGCCCAAAGAGGGAAATATAAAACTTCACTTGTTTTCTTTCACAACCATTCATTACAAACACCACCTCTACATTGTCACTTCAGATTAAAAACATTTTTTTAAATTCTTAAATGCTGTCAGATTTTTTTTTTTTTTAAGTCTCCACAGTGTCATTCAGGGAATCTAGGAAGAAGAGAGAATTCACCTATTGCAACATGAGGCTATTGTAAAGTATTACATTGGAGGCAAGAAACTTATTCTGGAATTAAGTCAGCTTCCTACTGGCCTCTGACTTTAGTCACTGAATCTTCCTGAAGCTCTGTTTCCTCATCTGCAAATAAGGGTCATTGTGATTCCTACCTAGATATGTTACAGACTGTTGTAAGGAGCTAATGACCTAATATATTTCAAAGTATTTGTTAAATATAAGTAGCCTTAGGGCTGCTGGTTTGTTTTAAAGTGAGCTCTGAGGAATCCCTTCTGCTGTTGTTTAGTTGCAGTGGTGGTGTTTTCCAACATGCAAGGAATTGGGCGGGAGGCACAATAAGCATTCTGTGGGACTGCCCTCAAATCTCAGCATGTTTAGTTTTTGGCCGCTATGAGCATAGCATCCTCCAGTAACTGGGTCCATCAAAAACACACCCGCACAAATCCAAAACGCACTGTCCCTAGGTAGAGGAGCCACTGGGGAGTCAAGAACCATCACTGAGAGAGAGCACAGAATCCAGCCCGGAGGGGTCAGTCTGCTCTTCTTTTGATTTACCTTAAATAACACATTTCCAAAGCAAAGTTCATTTGCAGAGAACTGTGCTACTAAAAATATTTAAATTTTTAAAAACCTAGAATTGTTATCTAACAAAAATTGCCATCAAAAGCTATGGCATTTTATAAAAGAATTCATATCTGGGCTTGTTTCTATAGCAACTCCTGCTGCCTTAGGAGCTCAACTTGCCCTCAGACCCCTTCCCCATGGTATCTGTCTGTGGAGGCATTGCTAGGCCAATAGAGCTACTTATAGTCTTTAAAATCAGCAAAACTCATACTCCATGAAAACCAAAAGGGTGTAGACATCACCCACATGGCCCCTATAGTGTCTGTGTGCTGGTAAAAGAAGAATCTCTTAGAGCTCTTCATCATCACAGTGAACAATCAAGAAATAATATTAAAATTTTTTCGTTGTAGATCCAGAAATCAAGTTGGTATTATTGTCTTTAGATTAAGACAATATCGTTAATTCTGCAAACATGGCTTTTCCTTGGTCAAACTCACAGTTGATTCTAACTAGAATTGACGGGAGACAGTAGAATGTACCCCTTCCAGTTAGAGGACTTGGGTTCAAGTACTCACTTTGCCAAATCCAAAGGAGTAATGATAACCTGTTTCATTTAACTCACTGGTGTGTTGTGAAGAGAAAGTATGATAAGAGTATTAATGTATGGGGACGCCTGGGTGGCTCAGTGGTTGAGTGTCTGCCTTCAGCTCAGGACGTGATCCTGGAGTCCCAGGATCAAGTCCCACATCGGGCTCCCCACAGGGAGTCTGTTTCTCCCTCTGCCTATGTCTCTGCCTCTCTCTGTGTGTCTCTCATGAATAAATTAAAAAAAATTTTAAAAGAGTATTAATGTATGAAAACATTAATGCTTTACTAAGTGCTAGGCACTATGCTATTTCACATAAACTATCTTCCATCTCCCCGACAGCTCTATGGGTAGATATTATTGTTATAATTCTCATTTGGCAGATGAAGAAATAACTGAGACTCAGAGAGGACTAGTGACTGACCCAAGATTACTCAGCTTGTAACAGTCAGAACTCACATCCAAGACTAACTCCTTGTCCTCAGCTCCTAAGCAGCGTGCTACTACCTCCCTAAGTGACACAAGTGCGTTGTAAACTCTAAAGTGTTGTAGAGATTTTAGTAGCTGATTTTATTTTTCATCTGTAACAGTTTACCTGTAGCACGCAGCTCCCTTTCACAGGGCACTGTTCCCAATGATATTTACTGCGAGCTCATTTGTAAGCAGCACCAACAACATGATGACATTTTATATCTAAGAATATTCCATAGGAGATAACCATAGCTTCTGGCTTTGTTTCAGACTAACAGTTGAGCCTTAAACATTCTCTTTCCTGTCATTTGGCAAGGTGTCTGCCCAGGGCCTTCAATCCACACCTCTGAACCTGGCAGTGAACTGGCGGTGTGAGCCAGCAAGCACTGACCTGCGCATCGATTACAAATACAACACCGATGCAATGACAACTGCTGTGGCCCTCAACAATGTGCAGTTCCTGGTCCCCATAGATGGAGGAGTAACCAAGCTCCAGGCTGTGCTCCCACCAGCAGTCTGGTAAGGAGCCGCTAGTCCCCTTCCTCTTTACCAAATGGCTGTTTCTGGGCAAAGGGATCATAAACTTCTTAGCATTTGCATTTCCTACAGGAGGGCATTACAGCAGGCCTGTATGTCAGGGTGCAGGGCAGGAAACACTATCCTGTTATTCTAAGAAGAAAAGATTTAGCAGAGGGATTTAGATGCTCACACAATAGTAGAAGTGCTAGAGGACTAAGCTTTAGACTGGATCTCCAAGAATGTTTCCCCAGGACACTGCAGAACTGGCTTACCAGGGAAGCTGCTAGCTCTACCACAAGCAAGAAGCAGAAAAATGAGAAAGCTGCCCGTGGAGCCACTAATTTCAAGAACTCACAGAGCCATGTTGATCCAAGGATAAGAAAGTTCCTACCCACACTGCCTTAACTGCTTCTCAGCACTCCTGGAACTGGGAGACTGGACTGCATACAGCACTTTGTGGGAAGATCCCCACATCTCAGTTAGACTGTTGGCCAACAGAAAAGAGCTACGAACACAGCAGGAGAATGGCCTCTGCTCCCTTCTGTCCTCCAAATCTCAAGCAGTGCACATCATGTGGACCCTAAGCTGCATCTAAGACCCTAACTGCAGGGGCATCTAAGAAATGTAGGGTTTTGTTCTATAGCCTCTGGACCATAAAAAATCACCACTGGAGAAGGTACGGGAACAGACCCTGAAGAGAAACCAAGTTAAAAAGGACTTGTTCTCTTAGAGAAAGTATTCTAGTTTTTCCATGTGATTGTCAGAAGCAAAAAATAGAACATTTAAAAAAAAAAAAGTCAGCCATATGACACCTCCAACTTAAGTTACTTGAATTCATTATTCATTAGAAGTGTCAGAAAAAAATTAACTGCATTGTCCTCTATATGTTTTCCTATCTGACAGAGGTGTAGCTGGTTATAATAAGGAACAGAAAAAAGAACATTTATGTGTAGACGTATGTATGGATGGTTGGGTGGATAGATAGATAGATAGATAGATAGATAGATAATGGGTAAATCGTAATTAACATTGTCAAGATTCATTTTTTAAAATTAACACTATCTAGAAAAAATATGGCATCCATTAAACAAAAACCTTTACATACACAAAAGCCTTTTACCTATTTTATTTATTTTTAGGAATGCTGAACAACAAAGAATATTGTGGAAGATTCCTGATATTTCTCAGAAGTCAGAAAACGGAGGTACTGTAATTATAGGCTTATTTAATACATAAAGCCGAAATAACTTTCAGGTATTAGAAACCTATCAATCAAAATACACTTAGCATTAGAAGCAAGCAGAATATTTCACTTTACTTTGGTGTATACTTATCTCAACCAATAAAAGCAAATAATTTCTCAGTGGATCCTCTACTTCCCCTTTTCTGCCCAACCCCACATCAAACAGGCCATACTTAAACCAGAGAAGAGCTTTTAATGAGACATGTTTTCATTTTGTGTCAGATCTCCACTTCCTGATAGTTTACGTATTTTTCACTTTCCTCTGACTGGGAAAATACATTGCCTTCCAAGTAACATGCTCCCAAATTTTGAAGTATCATTTGGTTGAATTACACTTTCATTAGTGTACAAGAAAAGTTCCTCATAATATTTCATGAAAAAATTTATTCATCACCATTTTGTCACTGAAACATACACTATTTCGTATGTTTTATTTTGTATATTTATACTAAGTTAGATTTTGTGTTAACTTTTGAATATAATTTGCAAAACTATATCCAGTGTGTTGTGCAATGATACTCTTTTTTTAATTTTTTTATAGGGGTGGGTTCTTTATTGGCGAGATTTCAGCTATCCGAAGGCCCAAGCAAACCTTCCCCATTGGTTGTGCAGTTCACAAGTGAAGGAAGCACCCTTTCTGGTTGTGATATTGAACTTGTTGGAGCAGGGTATCGGTTTTCACTCATTAAGAAAAGGTTTGCTGCAGGTAAGTGGGCATCCTGTGAGTTCCCTTTGCAAAAATAGTGTTGCCTTAGCTACTCTCTTGAGAAGGAAAAGTGTCTGATTTGCTCATCTTCTTTCTTTTCCTCTTCCCCATTCCCAATCCCCATTTCTCATCCCCGTTAGAAAGCAAACAGATTGTAGAATGAAAAATTGGATAATAAACTAGAAATCAGAATCAGGAAGGCCTTGCCTACCGATCATGGCTCTGGCTCTGTTTCTTATGTGGGGATCACCAGTCATTCCTATTATATACATTATATACACATGTATAAACTAAGGCCAGTGGAATAAATCCTACTGTTTTTTTTTTTTAAGATTTTATTTATTTATTCATGAGAGACACAGAGAGAGGGAAAGAGAGAGAGAGAGGCAGAGACACAGGCAGAGGGAGAAGCAGGCTCCATGCAGGGAGCCCGACATGGGACTGGATCCCAGGACTCCAGGATCACACCCCAGGCCGAAGGCGGCGCCAAACAGCCAGGCCACCTGGGCTGCCCAATTCTACTGTTTTTATATTGATAAACAAAGTAAATGCTATTTGCCTCTGAATTTACCTCTTACCTAAAGACATTTTTTCTCCAACAAGACTTCATAGATTTTAGACTTGTCAGGCATAGCTGAAATCTGAGAGGATCCATCTTTCACTTCAATATAAGCAACCTTCAAGAATCTAGGCCAGGTATCAGAAACAGTTGCCCATGAGCTGAATATGGCCATAAGACATGTTTTTGGCACACATGATAGTTTTTTGGTGAAGAAGTCCCCAATACTAGGGTGATTATACTTATCAATGACTTGTCAGGATAACTCCTGGTTTTTATGCCTGCTGGTCTCATGTAATTACTAGTTTTAACCCTTCCACTCTCAAAAATGACCCAGGTTACATGATTACTCTTCCCAAAACAAGTTGGATTCCCACATACAGAAACAAATCTCCCAGCCCATCCTAAAACCTAAACCTCTGCAAAGTGTTCATACATGGACATGTGAAAAGGCAACTACCTGATCTGGGAAGTTGAAAACTTAAAAAATTGTATGTATTTTATACTAATACCACACCTCTCAAAATGCAGTATTAGGCTCCTCGGGGTAGGCAGGAAGGATAAAAATGTTGCCCATATCATAATCACATTATGGAACTAGCAGATAACCTGTTGATATGTTGTTTTGTTTTGCAGGAAAATATTTGGCAGATAACTAATAAAATCTTATGCAAGGATTTGGATGATTCATATAATGGAGAACTGTTGTATGAGAAACAGGTTTTAATTTTGGTTTGATGGAAACAAACCAAAATCTGCACTTGGGATATATCTGCTGGAAATGTCCGTGACTTTCAGCAATGATTTCCCTCACACAATACCATGATGACCAGTCTTGCAGTATTTACTTCTAGGTGTAATATTGTTAATGGTTTTAAAATGTAATTATTGTATTTGTAAATTGTACTCATTCCAGTAAGGCGATTAGACACCTGAGTTTTAGCATTTTACCATTCCTGAAATGGATGTAATTTAAACTGTGGTATGTAAATTTAATAGTAGTACTGTTGAATGGCACAATGCTTACAGAGGTAGATTGCATTTTGTCAATATATAAAATTTAAATATAATATTGATAGCTGTCATAAAGGGGGTGCCACATACAAAGAAAATTAAGTGGAACCAGAGGGAAAAAAAACCTTCATTTTCTTCAATCCTTAGTATGTTTTACTCTAGTGCTAAATAAAAATTCTATCTTCAAATATTTAGTGGGTTAAATTCAGAAACTATTTCAGAAAAAAAATTCTAAAGTTACAGCATATTCAAGAAGAGCATTAATTACCACTTTTTAAAAAGCTTTTTTTTCAAACTGCAAATTTCATAAAAATGCAAACTGTGTAAACAGGGCCTCTTATTTTTATAACTTGTGTAAAAAGGGAAAGCAATTCATATTTAAAGTTTAAGTAGATGAAATTATAATCAAGAGTAAAGAAGATGTTGAAGTCTTAACTACTTCCCCCTCTCTCTACAGTTTAGCAAATGTGGAGATTGCTGAATAATATCAGACTAAAGCCAAAATTGTGACTTTAAAATTTCAAGACTTTCCGTAGTTGGACTGGTTAACAACTTTTGCTTAATTAGTCTGAACAGAGTCTCTCCCGTATAGCATGGAGAATGGTACCATGTATCTTTCTCTTTACCTGCAGGAATCAGACCATTAAGGCTAAAACTCGAAAAAAAAAAAAAATTAGTTCCTCCCACCCCGTTTAAGTCCAGAAGGCAAATTTTAATCATTATCATTTATATCATTGGGGAAGGAGAAAAAAAAAGAGCTTTATAAATGAAATTCAATCCACATTATTGTGCAATAAATTTCATTTTGGATAAGATTCATCATATGTGACTATAAATTTTTGCCATTCTCGGGGAATCAAGAGAGTTATCAAAAATTAATGTCATGATTTCATCGTTGAAAGGTACGATTAAAACTGTAATTACTCAGTCTGGCCTCACAATGTGAGGAGGATTCAGAATGGAGAAGCACTTCTTCAGGATTAGTCCCAGTTGTCAAACCTTCCTCCTCCACTATCTGCAAACATGAAATATCCTTTAAGTCATAGAACTTATTTTAAACATGAACCAATTCTTATCCTAAGTTATACTATCACATACCTGGAATTAGTAAGCCGTTGTATTTATCATTAGTTGCTAAATTTTTTTACGTTCACTGATACTTGACAAAGAATCATTAGTCTCTTTAGATTTTAGAATCAAATTAAATTTTGTAAGTCTTACTTTTAAAATGAGATTGTGATTGGCAATTGTTTATAGTGGAACTTTTTAAATTACCATTTGTACTGCTGCGTCAGTGCTTGCTACAAAGAAAATGTTCAAAATGATCTGTTTTACCTCAGAAGAATTTCTATTATTCAAATACTCTCAGTTGGCTCCCCAGACAGTCTGGAGTTGAAGTTTTTTTGGACAAATTATTAATGTACTCATTTTAAGTAAAGATATTCAATTTTATTTTGAAACCAAAATAGAAAATGCAAACTTTTAATCCTGCAAAACATCAAACACTGAAACCAATGGAGAGTAAGGAGCAGAAAATTGAGAATTATACAGCATATGAATTTAAAGATGCATTTTTAAGTAATCAATTCATAAGGAAAACGTATTGAATATTAACACAAAGCATATTAAAAATGTGTAAATATTACTGGTTCTTATGTCTTGCTCTTTATATTTTATTTTATTTTATATAGTTCTAGAGTGACTTAGTAATTAAACACAAGGGTTTTTTTCAAGGATTAATTTTGTTGATATTGTAAAAATATAATTTAAAACATAGATTACAAAAATCTTTAATGTTATTCAAACGTTTCCAGGAACTAAATTTGAAACTATAAAGATCTCTTGTGATCCCTTAATTGGTCTTTGTGAAACAGAATGGAGGTTATTGGCTTGATAATTATTAAGCTTTCAATAACCAGAATCTCGATAGAGAAGATATCCCTTCTCCTTTCAGAAAAATAGGTCAAATAATAACACAATAAACTCATATCAGGGCTTTAGATTTTGGTAGTGGTTTTTTTTCTAATTTTATAGTTTACAATCTCCTGTTAAACCTGTATCCACTGTACTGTACAATAAGAATTCATATTAGGAAAAAAGATCCTAGACAATGCAAGAATCTCTGCTATAAAAACTAACAAACAAACATTAAGTCAGGTCCATTGTCAATTCCTAAAACAGAAGAAAATAGGCAAGTACATATTAATATTTTCAATACTAGGGGTTAAAATAAAAAGAAAGAGTTCTCATTAACCAGAACACTATTCCTTGAGATTTATGATTTTAAAAGTTTCTGTTTTAACAAGATAGAAAGTATAAATGATATTGTTTTATTTTGACAACATGGAAAGTATGTTTTTTTCTAAATAAATTTCATATTTTCTTGATATTTTTAAAAATAAATTCTTGTTAAGAATTAGTCTGAATTTTACCATAGTTGGAATTTATAATTCCTAAGAGTTAAATTTTTAATTATTTTTAAATCTCTCTTCTCTACATCTACAGACAAAATGAAAATTCATTGTATGGTATTTGGGAATATATTTCACCTATAAAGAAAGAAGGTCCACATTTCAAATGGTTTTGAGTGAATAGAGATGTTTTTTATTTTTGTTTTTATGTATTTTTATCCATTTCCATCTGCAAAGTGTTTGATGCAATAATGACACATATTTTCATTTCAAAATCTTCTTTTCAGAGAAACCTGGTAACTACACTAACTCTACCACTAACTACTGCTGTGTGACATTGGACAATCACTGCCTTTCTTGGTTTGTTCTCTTTAGTATGAGGGATTAGGATTGGGATTGGGATTGCCAGTGGTTTTCAAGTTTTTCTTAACAGCAGCATTTTCTGCTACCAAAATTGCATATGAAATCCTGTTATGCAAAACAGCTCAAAGCAATGACGGAGTTCCTTCAAGCAGTTTAGATTTGGGCGCCCCTACCCCCACTCCCACCCTGACCCCAGCACTATTTAAACACCATCATAACATGTCAGTGATCTATAAAATTTCTCCCACCTCTGAAGTTCCATGATTCTACTAGATCAGATAGATTTCCTGTGGGGGCCTCATAAGAAAACTTGGACAATCACAGTAATTGACTGACATGTAATAAAAAATTATATTTACTTGAGTGCTTACCATATACCAGTCATGATAGATACTAGCTCGTTTAATACTTGTAGCAATCCAGAAGTTGTAAGTACTCTTCTTAATTCCTATTTTACAAATGATGACATCCAGGCTTAGATTAATTAATTTGCCCGAAGTGACACAGCAGCTGGAAGTAACCCAGTTATCTTGACTGCAGAGGGAGCCTCTCTGACCAGTTTTGCTTACTCATTCTGGGAAATAAACTCTTGTTTTATTTTCCTATATACATATCATTTGAATCCCAAGGTTAAAAGTTAGTATCAAAATAAGGATAATTCCAATAGCAAAATTGTTGGAAGAGTATGTTTCTCAAAGAATGACTGTGGACCACTTGTATTAACATTCATTTAAAAGGGTGATGATTTTGGCTCAGTCCCAGAGCCTAGAAGATAGCATCAACAAGTTTAAATTAAAAGAATAAATATCTAGGGATGGCGTTTAGGAATATGTATTTTCACAAGCACCCAAAACCTGAGAATCACTTCCCTAATACATCTCTGAGGTCCTTCTTAGTTATGACATTCTATCAAATTTTAAACATTAAATTGTAAGTTGAATGAATATCATTTTTCTGGTGAGTTTATTTTTTCACTCAGTCCATTTAACTTTCTCCCGTTAAAGAAAAATGGAAAAAAAAAAAAAAGACTCAAGGCTTTTCTGGGAAAATCCTTATCTTTTCCTTAGAGTTCTCGCTATATAGTCTCAAAGTGGCCTGAAATGTATTTTCTTGTTTTCATATTTCTCCTTTTCCATCAATGGCTCAAAAGACTAAGAGAAGCTGTAGGCAGATTGCAAGCTATCACTCACTGCACAAAAAAAGTCCTAATAAATGTCTCCCCCCTTGCAAGAGACACTCAGATGGATGTGTAACTTTTGAGCTGACCCTATTTATTTTGTAGGCCTTTGGATTGGATGCTTTATAACCATGGACCAGTGTCATTCTAAAGGAGTTAACTCAATAATTTTTATTTTTCCTTTTTTTTTTCAGAATAATCACAGTTGTCAATTAAATTTGAATGGCATAGTAAAATATTTAGATATCTACCAAGAAGATGAGTTTGTTGAGTTTTGCCTTTTTTTTTTTAAGCTTTCTTTTTCCTTACAGATTATGCATTCAGCAAGATCCCATTCAGGCTAAACGTACTTTCTGCTACATGGTTTTCTGACCAGCAATTTATTTAATGGAAGGAAATTTTTTTATGATATTAAAAGAAGGATGATCTCTAAATATCATTTTAAAAATTAGTTAATATAAGTAAAAATGATGTTTCCTTGAAATAAATCAAATTAAGTTGCTGATATGAATGAACAAATCAATCTATGTTAACTGATTAAAGAAGGTGTTCTGATGACCTGCCGCACCATCTTTTACTGTGTGCACTTCTGTCATGAAGCTTTATTGGATTTTCCTGCTTCTTTTGTGTTTGTTTGTTTGTTTTTTTCATTTGGCAAATAGCATCTAAATGCCATTCCCTCACTCGTGAATTAAACATGTCTACCATTACATTATTTTTTGTACATGGAATGTATGGAGGAAAAGGAGATAGAAGTCAAATATTTAAATTTCCAAATATTAAAAAAAAATAGAAAACCCACTAGCATTTCTGTGTCATTGCTTTGATGTCCTATCATCTTCTGTAGGCTAGAGTTGTAATTTTAATATCTAATTCAAATTGAAATATTCTTCTTGGAGGAAAGTCAAATTTTAGAGTCTATTGAGTTGACTATCACATCTCTTGCTTCTCCCTCATGTTTAACACTTGATTTCTATCCTAAATGAGTATTCTTGTGAGAGAAAAGCACCTCCTTATTGACATCCACTATAAGTATAATAATTTATTTTCTAGGTATAACTTCTCAAGTTATTTTTCCTTTGACTTATAGTATTTTTGATTGTCTTCTTCTATCCCTAAGGTTGTACGTTGCTTATTCTAAATACACCTTTAACCTTATAAGAAAAGATGTTTCAATGAGAAGCAAATATATATTTTTATGTGTCTCTTAATGCCTAAAAGGAAATAAGTAAAGGATACTTCAGCGTTCACCTATATCCAGTATTTTCCAAATTGTGTCCAGGTCGACTGGAAATATTCATTGTGGCCTGAGAATATATGATCCTATGCCATATTCCCCACTCCTTGGACACTGATAATAAAGGTTAGTGTTTTAATGAAGCTTAAGAAAGTTATTAAATCACAAAACACTTTTTTTTCCCTAAACACACCTTGAAGAAACAGAAAAGTTTTCTTTTAACACCAGCTTACATATCCTTCAAGAATCACAAATAATACAACCAGGAATGTTTTGAAAGAATGCTTCTGGGTTTTTGTTTAACTTGAAGAAAAATTCTTGCCACTTCAAATGAGTATCTATTTTAAATTTTCCTTAGTATATCTTAGTGAATTTAACTTTATCACCTAAAATATCCATGTAATACTTTAATTTTTTAAGTATTATTTTTAAGGTGTGCACCTATGACCAAGCACATCAGAGTACCAACTGTTGAAAACAAATTCTTTACAGAGTGGAATTAATGCTAGCGAACAATCTTTGGTAATATCGAATTGAGTGGCTTTAAGAAATTGGATGATGATAGATGAACGCTGAACGCAGTTTTACATAGTCTCGTTAGAAGCAGAACCCTACACTCTACTGATGAGCATTTCACAGTTCTTTTTTGCAATGCTTTATTTTTCAAATCAATCATTCATACACAAAAGCAGCAAAATTCCTTTTTAAAAAATTCTTGGATGAACTGATTCAGAATAAAGCTGAATCACTTTACATTTCTCTAAATATAGCTCAATTTTTAATTCACTCAGAGTTTGTGAATCAGCTTGATAGATGATAAGCCATTTATCATTTTTAAATATACCATTGAATATGTCATGCAAATGTTAATTCCATCTCATTTGTTCAGCTGTATATTACTTCACTGAGATTTTCTCTCCCTCTTCTCTCTGACCAAACAGATGCCTAGTGTTATTCATACATGCATCATTACTTTAAACTATTTTAAATAATACACCAAATGTCTACCACTGGGTTCACTATCCCAGGGTCCAAAGTCAGATAGTTTTCTTTTCCTTGTGAGATGATAGGATGAAAATTCTTACAAGCTGTGTTAATTTTGCAGGTCAGTATTGAATTCTTGTTTTTTAAATGGATGTGCATGAAAGAGACTGGCCCCTGTCTAATCTCTCTGTTTCTCTCAATCTAAGAGAATTGGAAAATTGCTCCTGAATATTTTTTCTTGAAAAAGCCAAGTGTTGGGATATGTATGATGATATGCTAATCTTATATATGAGCAGAGCTTCACTACAGGCCAAGCAGTCATTTACAGAGCTGGCTTTTTTAACTGTTTGAATATTACTGGGTTCAATATACAAATACTTTTAATTTTTCACTTCATGTAGGAAAAAATATATAAAGGATCAAATTTTAATTTTCACACCTACTAAGTGGCATTCTTTTTTTTTTCTTTGACAATAAGAGAAACTAGAAAAAGAATCTCAGAGAAATTTTGCTGTGTTTCCAAAGGTAATAAAATTCAATCAATTGTCTTTCTTAAGAAAAATGCTGTTAGTGTGTACTTTGAGTTGGTGGTAGCCTTTCTTTGGAACTCCCCGTGATTTTTACAGCAACGGTAAACTGAATTTCTTTATGACCTAGTATGAAGTATTTAATTTCACAGAATTCCTTGAGCATAAACTATTTATAAAAGAAATTGTGGGTTAAAATACTCAAGTATATTTTTAAAATCTAGTTAAAATATTAATGCCTGGCTCTTTTTCCTACATGTGTAATTCAACCGAGAGTACTTTTATTCTCATGGCCATTACTGCTTTGTCTATGATGAAAGCTTTACTGTGCTCAAGAAAAAAACCAGCAAAAGAAGCAAGAGTTCACTGTAGCAAAGCTCGCTGGTGAGCAAAGGTGATATGAATGTGTAGTATTGATTTATTGAAGATAATCATGAGAACATTTTAACATTACTTGCCTTATAAGTTAGAAAAGATGTGGACATCATTTTTTTTTGTAAATAATGATTTTTACAAATGGTTTTTCCTTCATACCAATCACCCATTTCACAAAATCCTAAATATGCAATTATTTATCATGACACATTACTGCAACTAGGGTTCCCATTTCCAAACAAACTTTAATTATACATGAGATCAAGATGAAATATCTAAAGTAAATTGTTATTTAAATGTAATTTTTCTGGAAAATAAATGAAAAAGTGTAAAACTAAATTCAGTTGTGAACCTCTTTTATCACCAGCCTCTTAAAATTTTACCCACATTTCTGGAAAATTTCACTGCGTGTTTGGGGTGGCAAAGCGGACAAAACATTTTGACACAGTGCAAGGGCTTTAGAGTAGGACACATCCCAGTCCCTGATTTAATGATAGACTGGAGCACATTACTCGATTCTTCATCCCTATCTTTAAGAAAATGGAGCTACACTCCCCTTAGCATAGGGTCAATGAACAGATTAAAAGAGATAATCTTTACCAGTCCCCTAATAGTTCCTACCTACTACGTAGTGGATATTCAATAAACAATCCCTTCCCTCTTCTGTGAATAGCGATTGGGATGGGGCCAGAACACTCTAACGCTCTCCCTCCGCGCTGTCCTCTTACTGGCTCTACTGTCATCCCGGTGCATTGCTCTTGTCAGCTTCTGCTAACTGCACTGACCACTCGTAAAAGGGCAGGTACCATAGCTTAGAGGTATTGTTTTATTTCTAACTCCAGTGATTGCCCACTACAGAAGGGTCCTTTCAAAGGTTTGGATTTGTTTGCTTTGGGTTGGGGGAGGGGTCTTGAGGTTAATTATTAAGGAGGGAAGCGCCTTTTAGAGAGGCCAGATAGGTCCTCAAGGCCAAACAGTCTCTATTTCAAAGCTTCTTAAACTTTAAGAGGCTGGGAAGAAACCTATTTAGGAAAAGTGAAGGAGCCTCCTTGGCAGCTCAGGAGATAAGCCTGTACGCGGCTCAGTGCCCCTATCCCATTATTTAAGGATTCAGAATCTCAGTGTTCTTCTGTGTCTGTAAAGGGAGAACCACCTTTCCTTAACGGAGTTGTTGGGACAAACTAATCAAAAGCAAACTGCCAGTAGCTGGTAGATGCAAGCTCTCAGTAAGGGATCCCTGTGATCAAGCTTCTGGACCTTGAAACAGGGTGGTGGGAAGTGGTGTCCGAGGTCTGGGAAAGGGAAAGGGAGTTCTCCTTTCTCTTTGCGCCTCGGATTTCCTGTCCCAGGAGACCCCACTACTTCCCACAACTGACTCCCCCCCCACCCCCGGCACTTAGGGGAAAAACTGGACGAGGGTTCAGGCTGCTGCACCCTGAGTCCCAGATGACCTCCTGGCCGCAGGATAAACCAGCCCTCCCCCCCCCGCCCCCGGGCACCAGCGAGCTCGGGACAGCGGCCTCCGGGCAGGGACAGCGAGACCCTCGGGCAGCTCGGAGGACCGCGCGGCCCCGGCGGAGGCCCGCGGGGGGCGGGGGCAGCGCTCGGGGAGGTCGCCCTGGAGACCGGGCGCACGGGCCCCGCGGAGGGCGCGGGTCGCGGGCGGAGGAGGCGCGGGAGGGGGTCTCGCCAGCACCGCGGGCTCCTGCAGCGGGCCCCTGCAGCGGGCCAGCCGCGGCCCCGAGACCCCCGAGACCCTGAGGGCCCCCGAGGCCGCGCCGCTGCAGGTAAGTGCGCGCTCCCCGCGGCGCCGCGGGCTGGGAGACACAGCGGGTTCGAGGGGGGACGGCCCTGGGGTAAGGAATGGCGCGTCTACTGGGCCTCGACCTCTCCCAACCCTGCTCCAACCCCACCCCCCCAAACAAATAAGAAACAGTGGCCCCAAATTTGGGAACTGCAAGTGAATCCTGGCCTTTGGTACCCGGCCCGCTCACTGCACCCCCAGCCAGCCCCGCCCCACCGCACACCCCCAAGCCCCCATACCCCCTCCCCACACACCACCCCCATCACCCCACCACCGACTTCCTGCGTGTCTGAGCTTTAGGGTGAGGGCCTGTGCAGAGCTGGCCGGCCGGTGTGCTGGGGGAGCAGCAGTGTCCCTGAGGCCCCACTGCCCTGGCGGCCACACCCCCGGGACCCCTAGGTTCCAGCTCTGGCCTGTGGAAACCAGGGAGCAGACTGAGGTCTACCTAGGTTACTTTGGATCAGAACCTGGATGACCCACTTAATCAGGCACAGTGTGCCTGCTACACACAGACACGCTCACATAGACACACACTCGTTATACAGACACATACACACGCATATACAGATACACAGACAGACACTCACATTCATAGACTCTAATATACTCCAAGCACACACACCGAAGTGCACACATACATTCAGTACACAGACCCATGGCACACAAAGGCTCATGCACACACACCACACACACACAGGCACACACCCATTTAGGTGCACAGATAATCATTCATATACACACAGGTGCCCACACAGGTTCCCCGGGCACACACATCCATGTACACAGACGCTCAAACATGCAGCCCCACACACTCATGGGGACACACTTGTGCCTACCCAGGCATTCACCCACAGACACACACACACACACACACACACACACAGGAATGTGACATTCCGGTCACTCTCACACAGAGCCACAATCACACACAGGCACAGAATCACACACACACCCTCAGTGCCTCCCTTCCAACGCAGGGTACCTCTGCCATTCCATGTGCCCTCCATGTGCCCTTTGCTCTTCTCTACCTGACACTTAACACACAGAGGTTTTATTTTTATTTTTTTTAAGATTTTTAATTTATTTATTCATGAGATACACAGAGAGAGGGAGAGAGAGGGAGAGACACAGGCAGAGGGAGAAGCAGGCTCCATGCAGGGAGCCGACGTGGCACTCGATCCCTGGTCTCCAGGATCAGGCCCTGGGCTGAAGGGGGCGCTAAACCGCTGAGCCACCCAGGGATCCCCACACTTTAGATCGTGTCATTGTCTGCCCTACCGACTCCACTCCTGCTCCTTGAAGGCAGGGACTCTGTCTTAGTTCTGTTTTACTGTCTAGCACAGTGTTTCCTTGTTCGGGCTCTCAGATTTACAGATTATAAAATAATTTAAATGAATGTCTAAATTTGTATATAGGCAATAGGGCAGTAGACCTACAGTCTAAATTCTGGGAAGTCCCTTCCTACTACCACCTTTTTGACAAACGTTGGCTGGAAGGAAGTGATCTTTCTAATAAAATACGTTGTTACAGGTTAAATTTTGTGTGCTTTCTACAAAGAAAATCACTGTTGCTTGAAAAAACTACCCTTTGGGGAAGATGATTTTAATTTTTAAAATAAAGCATCAACAACAAATATTAATTAGCAAACTTTTATCAAGATTAATTTGGAGGGAAGGGCAATAGAAAATACTGCTTTCGGGTGTGAAATAACATCTTTCTTCTACACAGGCTTTTTTCAGTGACTAAACCTCTTCTGCTATTAAGCATTTTTGCTGCAGCTTAATATCTGATTATGTGAATTATACTATACTAATATACTGTTGCACAGACAAAAGTTATGAGCTTTCGTGTTTCCAATTATACTGTCCAGAATGACAACATACACTAAAAATCACTATTAAGGAAACTGCACTTTCCCATTCAAAAATGATAGAAGAATTATGTTTTTTAATCTAGAATGAGTCTTGGTGTTAACGTTAACTAAAATGCTTTCAGATCTTTTGTCTGCTGTTTTACAAAAGTTTTCCATAGGTTAGGATGATGTCAGACATTGCTAAAGACAGGATGGCTCATTCAGTAAGGAAAAGGAGGAGTGTGTCTTCTCTGAGTGGTCGTGAATTCCGGCAGAAGGAACTTCATGGTTATATCAAAAAGTGAGTAACTGAATATCTAATAACCTAAATTCAGCTATTGAATAAACCAGTGCATAGTGTTCCTTTGGAATATAAAAAGGGAGAAAATGGGCAAGTGGAATATTTTGAGTCATCTTTTGGGGCTATATTTTAAAAATGAAAAAAAAAAAAAGGAGAGTGAGAAAATCTAAGTGGTATATTGATTCCAGCAACATTTTTTACTATTTCAAATAGCATCCCCCCAAAACCATTTACCCCAAAGAAATGCCATGTGCAGTGTAGACTACCTACTTCTTTTGTGTCTCCTTAGTATCATATAAATGCTTCTCCTCAGGATCATATAAATACATAGATTTTGTTTCATAATCTGATCATTTGTGGATTACAAATACAATCTCTCTCTTTTACAGATAGGAAATGTAAAGGAGTAGCAATCCCAGCTAATGTCAGAAGTAAAACTGGGAGAAAAATTAACCTCTGCAACTTTTACTTCTGACCTTAAGCCATTTTGGCTGCTATTTCCAATACTTAAAGGTAAAGTTAAAAAAAAAAAAAAGATAAAGTTCCTTTTAAAATTATTCAATAATGTTAGCTTAAATTCAACTTTTTCTAAGAAAATATTTATAACAATAGTCTGACATAAATCATGTTCCTGTGGTTATAAAAAAAAAAAACCTGCTCTCATCTGAAGACTAAACTGTCATTCTTATTTGCCTCATTTTCATTTTACATCTTCCCTTCTAAAGCATATTAAAAAGTCATATAGAATCAGAACACCACAGCTAAATTTGAATAATTAGCTTTCTTTTTTAATTGATGAAATATAATAAATACAAATTAAAAGTAACAAAAATACAGAAATTGTATTACCAATACATGAGGATAGATTTTTCACTAACAGATATATTTAAGTGATAATTTCATTGATGTATTTCACAGTTAGAAATTCGGACTGTCAAAACATTCAGAATGGATCCTCTACCTGAATTTTTTTTTTTTCTTAGAAAGCAAACGACCAGCTTCCAAGTACCCTTCAGTACAGAGGCCATTTGGGAGACTCTCTCCTCAAGCTAGCTCCTACTTACTTTCAAGGTCTTCAGCACTGTCTGGGACTGGACTGTGCAAATGGTTCTCCTTCATGAAATGAGCTAGCAGAATAATTCTGAAAGCTCAGTGGTTATCAATCAGTGGCGTTGTTTTGAAATTTCAGAGTTTTATGGAAAAGCATATACCTTTCTCTTGAAGAGTATTTAAAATATTTTTTTTAGTAGATCAGTTTCAATTGTATAAAACCTATCCTGTAATTTACTGAGGACCAAATACATTCTGTCATTTAATATCCCCAGCATTAATCCTACTAGGAAGACCTCATCCTCACCATTTTACCATGAAATAACTGAGGCTTAGAGGTCAAGGAATAATTTAGTGACTAGGATGGTCCTAAATCATGAGTAAAGCATATAGGGCCCAGGGATATCTGCCTACTTCTCCAGCGCTGTGTTCTCCATTAGCCTACTTCCATCCTACTCTCTGGCCATACTCAGCTTGCAGATTTATAATCCTCAGTGCTTTGCCTTGTTTCCAGCCAAGCTGCCATGTTGCTTTCCCATGGGGTACCCTTGTCTGGAATGTTCTTCTTACACTTTGGCTTCCTTCTCCTCCTTCTCCTCCTTCAGGATTAGGTCCAGCTCCACCTTTCTAGGAAGCTCTCTCTAAACTACTCAACTACAACCACTTCCACTTCTGGGCTAGGTTAGATGTTCTTTTCTGTTCCTGCTGCTCTTCTCTTCTACATGCTACTATACTAGGCTGTTTTTTTGTCTGTCTTTTCTTGTTAGATTGTGAACTTATTTGCCTTTACAGCAGTAAACACACTGATAAGGAAGGCAAAGAAGAGTAGGAGATAGACATACTTGGAAAGCCACTTCTGGGGCTTCTCATCGATGAGATGAGCACTTCTTATCGGCATAGATTTAGCCCTCCAGTCTTGCTTTCTATGTCTACATTGCTTTACAGTAGTAACTAATTCTTAAGATTGATCCCTGGGCATAATGGATATCTAAAATGACTTCTGATTTATGAATGGAAGATTGAATTTATAGTCGTTATAATTACTATTAACTGTTTTTAAGACTGGATCTTTTTTACTTAAATTATGTTTTAATTATAATATAATTTTTATGTTTTATTTTTAAAAGTTGAAATGTCTTAAGCTGGATCTTACTCTCCCAGGATCATAACTGTTAGCATGTCAGCATATTTCTTTTCATACCTTTCTAGTTGTCATCATACTTAGTCTACAAGTTTGAATTTTATTTGCTTTTTCACTTAAATAATTGATAGAAATAAGGCTGAAAGTAGCTCATATTTATTGAGCCCTCACCATGACCTTATTTAAGTCTCACAGAAGCTCTGTAATAGTGGGTGACAAACTATGGATCAAGGGCCAGGTCCAAACTACCCCCTATTTTTGTATGGTCCCCTAGCTAAGTATGGTTTTTACATGGTTGAAAAAAATTTTAATAATATTTTTGTCATGTGAGTATTAATAAAAATGCAAATCTCAGTATCCATCAATAAACTTTTATTGGAACACAGCCACACCTATTCATGTGTGTATTGTCTCTGGCTGCTTCACTATAGAGTAGAACGGTTGCAATAGAAACCATAGGACCCACTAAGCCAAAATATTTGCTATCTAGCATTTTACAGAAATGTTGGCTGATCCTGCTCTCTCAAACAGATGCTATTGTCGTCCCCATTTTACAAATGGAGAAACAGAAGCCTAGAAAGGTTGATGTTCCAAAGCCACAGAATTAGCAAGTGGCAAAATCGGCTTTTGTGTATAGGCAAGTATTCTCATTTTTGAAAATTGGCTATCTATGTGTAACCTATGTTAATGAAGCTCTTCTATTCATTCACCTGAACCTTTTGTTTCCCATCTGTGAGTAAGAGCAGGTATTGACAGTGACATATTTCTTGTTGGAAGCTCAGCCTTTGGCAGCCTTCAAACAGTATTTGAACAGATGTGCTTCTCTCATGTTCTTAAAATGGAAACAGAAGCCTGAGGTTAAATTACTTTCCCAGGATAATGTGACACGCTAGCCAGGTTTATTTTCTCTGTAAGTAGAAAATAACAGTAATTCAACTAGGGGATCCCTGGGTGGCGCAGCGGTTTGGCACCTGCCTTTGGCCTGGGGCACGATCCTGGAGACCCGGGATTGAGACCCGGGATCGAGTCCCACGTCGAGCCCCCGGTGCATGGAGCCTGCTTCTCCCTCTGCCTGTGTCTCTGCCTCTCTCTCTCTCTCTCTCTCTCTCTCTCTCTCTCTGTATGACTATCATAAATTAAAGAAAAAAAGAAAAAAAAAGAAAATGGAAAAAAAAAACAGTAATTCAACTAGTAGGTCAAGCCTAAGGTTGGAGAATAAAGAGTCTCTCTTTTGTCTCAAACCAAAATTACAGCAACGTTGTATAACAAGAACTTAGAGTACGGATCCCACAGCTCTCTAAACCACACTGGTGGTATCTAACACACTCGTTAGGCCATACTATATTCTTTCACTTACTCATTTATTCAAGGTTTACTGAACTACTCTGTGCCAATTATTATGTCACATGTTAGGCATGTAAAGGTAACTAACTGTAGAGTTTTACTCTGTAGAAGGTCATTTTTCAAGTAAACTGAAAGCCACCTGGTAATTTTTTTTCTGCAAAAAGGAAAATCCTGAATTAGTGACTTCATTTGAGATAAATATTTATTGACCAATGAGTATATTCCAGGCATTATGCTGGGGGGTGAACCGCAAAGAAATAATCCCTGGTCTTGGGGAGTTTGTAATCTGGTGGAATAGGTAGTGAACAAGTAATTTTCAGTGTGATGAATTTATCCAATGATTTCAACCTATACTACTGTGAGCTGCTTATGTGCAGTTTAAAAATGATGTTTCCGGATCTGTTTCCTAATTTTGATAAGGTCTTTTGCCATCTAAATAAAATTAAAGCCCCTGAAAGACCTAGATGAGATACAGCTTCCCCCCTTCAAAGAGAGAGAAACTTGAGAAAACTGAAATTACCATCGTCTGAAATTAAACCACAGTAAAAACTCATATTATCTTGTATTTGATAGGTTATGAGACTTTTTCACATACAATACCCATATGATTCTCATAAAAATCCTGTGGGTTAAGTAGAGAAGATACTTTTATGATCTTCAGTTATCTCATTTATTATCTTATTTCTCTCGGGAACAGAGTTAAAAATTTTCCTCATTTCATAGCACAGTGTCATCACCAATGTGGGTGAGGCCCCTGGTGTCCACCTGATTGTTCCTTTTCTTCCCCTTCCACACTTCACTCCCAACTCTCAAAAGGCACCCACTCTCATATACACAGCACTACACATGCTACAAGAATACACATATTTAAGTACTGTAATTTTCTGTGTATTATGCTGTTTTGACATTTAAAAAAAACTTTCTGGCTGGGGAGAGATGCCCCTCCCAGGTCTAGCCAATTCTTGAAGCTAGCCAATGTCTCATCAGGAAACATGCCTTAGATATACATGCAAACTATCCAACTCAGAGCCAGCTTCCCTTTACGTGTCCCCCAACACACCAGCATGCAATATTCCTCTGCCTTAACTGGCCCAGAGCCAAGTACCAGGCCCACTGAAATTACTCAGACTAGCTAGTCTTGAATGGCTTCCCATGCCCAGTTTTGCCTTTTCCTCAGAAACCCCAATAAAGGCTCTAGCCTTATCTCTCCCTGGCTGCTGTCCTCTGTGTCATAACACTCTGGTGTCTTTCCATATAGCCTTGCATGGCATGGCATGTATCTTATCTCTGGGATCTGTGAGTACAGTCAGCTGTGTTTTCCTGGGCTCCTCCTCTGTGTCCTTTTTTTAAATTCTTTTTTTATTTTTTATTTTATTTTATTTTATTTTTTCTCCTCTGTGTCCTTTTGTGCCACACCTGACTGACCATCTAATAAAAGAATACGGAACAAGTACTTACCAAGGAT